CCAGAATTCCTTAAAGAATTCAGCTGGAAAACCATCTGGCCCAGGGGCTTAATTATTCGGCATATGGAAAAGGGCTTCATAGAGTTCAGCTATTGAAACAGGTGAATCCAGAGACCTGATCTGTTCATCATCTAACCTTGGCAAATCTATATTGTTCAGAAATGCATCGATGTTAGAGCTAGATGGATCAATTTGTGATGTACACTGCTCAAAAAAATAAAGGGGACACTTAAACAACACAGTGTAATTCCAATTCAATCACACTCCTGTGAAATCAAACTGTCCACTTAGGAAGCAACACTGATTGACAATCAATTTCACATGCTGTTGTGCAAATGGAATAGACAACAGGTGGAAATTATAGGCAATTAGCAAGACACCCCCAATAAAGGAGTGGTTCTGCAGGTGATGACCACAGACCACTTCTCAGTTCCTATGCTTCCTGGCTGATGTTTTGGTCACTTTTGAATGCTGGCGGTGCTTTCACTCTAGTGGTAGCATGAGACGGAGTCTACAACCCACACAAGTGGCTCAGGTAGTGCAGCTCATCCAGGATGGCACATCAATGCGAGCTGTGTCTGTCAGCGTAGCGTCCAGAGCATAGAGGCACTACCAGGAGACAGGCCAGTACATCAGGAGACGTGGAGGAGGCCGTAGGAGGGCAACAACCCAGCAGCAGGACCGCTACCTCTGCCTTTGTGCAAGGAGGAGCAGGAGGAGCACTGCCAGAGCCCTGCAAAATGACCTCCAGCAGGCCACAAACGTGCATGTGTCTGCTCAAACGGTCAGAAACAGACTCCATGAGGGTGGTACGAGGGCCCGACGTCCACAGGTGGGGGTTGTGCTTACAGCCCAACACCGTGCAGGACGTTTGGCATTTGCCAGAGAACACCAAGATTGGCAAATTCGCCACTGGCGCCCTGTGCTCTTCACAGATGAAAGCAGGTTCACACTGAGCATATGTGACAGACGTGACAGAGTCTGGACACGCCGTGGAGAACGTTCTGCTGCCTGCAACATCCTCCAGCATGACCGCTTTGGCGGTGGGTCAGTAATGTTGTGGGGTGGCATTTCTTTGGGGGGCCGCACATGGCGCCCTCCATGTGCTCGCCAGAGGTAGCCTGACTGCCATTAGGTACCAAGATGAGATCCTCAGACCCCTTGTGAGACCATATGCTGGTGCGGTTGGCCCTGGGTTCCTCCTAATGCAAGACAATGCCCGTTCCCCAGACCTGAATCCAATTGAGCACATCTGGGACATCATGTCTCGCTCCATCCACCAACGCCACGTTGCACCACAGACTGTACAGGAGTTGGCAGATGCTTTAGTCCAGGTCTGGGAGGAGATCCCTCAGGAGACCATCCGCCACCTCATCAGGAGCATGCCCAGGCGTTGTAGGGAGGTCATACAGGCACGTGGAGGCCACACACACTACTGAGCCTCATTTTGACTTGTTTTAAGGACATTACATCAAAGTTGGATCGGCCTGTAGTTTGGTTTTCCACTTTGATTTTGAGTGTGACTCCAAATCCAGACCTCCATGGGTTGATAAATTTGATAGTATTTGTGTGATTTTGTTGTCAGCACATTCAGCTATGTATAGAAAGGAGTATTTAATGAGATTATTTCATTCAGATCTAGGATGTGTTATTTTAGTGTCCCCTTTATTTTTTTGTGCAGTGTATATAATTTTTTTTTAAATCTGTGAATGCATTGTTGATTTCTTCTGGGTTATGAGTCAGATTCCCAGCTGAGTTCTTTAAAGAGGAAATTGTTATTTTATCTTTATTCAATTTCAATTGGTTGGCTAAGAATCTGCTGGATTTATGTTCAAAGTTCTCCAAGCGTAGTCTCTGCAACAGAAATTGGGTCTTTTTATCAATAATTTCATTTAATTCAAGTTTTAATTTTCTCAGATCATTCAGCATGTGTTCCTGTGGGGAGGCAGCAAGGGTAGTTTCTGTTTTTATTTTTTGTTCTAGCTCTAACTCACGAGATCTCTAAGGCAGGATTATTTTACCTCTTATGACTGTTGTGCTGCCTCCCAAAGAAGACATTATAAAATCTAGATCTTTAAGCAATGATGCATTAAGTCTCCAACCACTAGTTGGCCATGTGACCCTTTTTTTTTAGCAAGACTGATAGAAACCGGTGCATGATCACTGATAGTGATAGGGTGAATCTGAGTGTCGGAAATGTCATAATTGAGCTGCTAACCAAAAAATAGTCAAGGCGAGAATATGAGTGGTGGACTGGTGAAAAGAAGGTATATTCTCTAAGAGTGGGGTGGTGAGAACGCCAAACATCGCAGACACCAAAATCGCTCATGTATTGTTTAAGGGTGTCTGTTGATTTCCAAATACGGTGACCACCTGCCGTACTGAGCCTGTCAACTGCTGGATTACATACCATGTTGAAGTCGCCTCCTAATATAAGAGCTGTGTCTGAGTGAGGTGAAGAAAGCATGAAAAAAGGAGGGGTCGTCAACATTCGGGCCATAGATATTAGCGATTCATAAAGGAGTATTTTGAATAGAAATGTTAACAATAATAAATCGACCTTCTGGATCTATCGTAGAGGTATTATGTTTGAAGTGTGTTTTTCTATGTATCATAATGGTGACCCCTCTTTGTTTTGAGTTATAACAGGCTGAGTACGAGTGAGGAAACTGTGGTGAGGTTAGTTTATCTGCTGTCTTGGGTAAATGAGTCTCCTGTAGTAGGACAATGTCTGCTTGCAGATTATTTAGATGGTTAAAAATTTTTAATCTCTTTTCCCTTGAACCAACTCTGCGTACATTCCAAGAGGTGATTATAAGTGAGGTCATCATTCAACTAAGGGATGTGGTGAAGGCTAGTGTGTGCAGTATCCTTGTGTGTGGTGTGTGTACACGCCTGTATGTGTGTCTATGTGTGCCTATTGTGTATGTGCTAGCGTTGCCCGACTGTTTGTGAATTAAACTGTATGAAAATAGCGCAGCTAATCGACGAGTAAACGGTGGAGAAAGAGCAACATTAACAGGAAAAAGAAACAGTGAAACAAAAACAGAGAAATACACAGAACATTATCAGACGGTGTAGTCAGATAACCACAGTAGCCTATACTGTTGAGACGTGAACTGTATTTTATATCTATTAACCTATTAAAGTTAATGTGTGTTTTCTAATAAAACATTTTCTCAGTATTCTTACTTTCTTCTGCTTATCTCAGTGCATAAAGGGCAAGGTTGGAAACCACTGTTGCAAGCAGCACTGCTTAAGAAACCTTCATGCTTCTGGGACAATTATAACCACATGGGCTCGGGTGTACTTCAATAATAATGTAATCCATTGTCAACACGGTCATCCAGAAATGCAACCTGAAACTGTAATAAGCGAAGAGGAAGTCATACATCAATTGTATGCAGAAACGCCGCCGCAGAGCACCTGGAGGAAACCACACGAACACGGCTGTCTGAATATATTAAGCACATCATCTGATACAGATTTACTAGGTGAATAAAACACATTAGCTGCTGTCATTTGATGCAGGTGATACACCGACTGTGGACCTACCTAAGTACTTCAAACAGCCCCACCCTATTAATTTAAATTTGCAGTGATTGACTCATGTAGAGAATGTAGAAGTCACAGATGTGGCTAGAGGTAACAGTCCAGAAAAAAAGGAACTGGGCTGATTAAAGAGAAAATCTGAAGAGTGGCATTAAGAGGCTGGGACGTTCAGAAATACGCTACAGTAGAATCAATAATTGATATATAAATTACTATATTACTTTATTACCAGTGACTGTATAACTTACATAAGTTGCTACGATTATTCCCTCGACACACATTTCTCCTTTCACTTTCGCCCCTCCAGCACAACAGGTCTAAGTTTTTCTATAAATCCTCCTCTGATGTTAAACTGTTCCCATTCTGTTTGGAGCGTATCTGTGTTCCCAGGGTTCTAAGTTCCTCAGCTCAAGATCCTCACGCATTGATGAGGAGACCTTTGTAAAGGGTTTAATGGGTGACGTTAGCGTTTTTTTACCACCACATCAAAAACACCAAAGTCATCCAAGAACACAAAGAACAAAGTCACACAAACAGTAACAGAGCCAACCGAGGCAGCGGTAGACCAGCAACTCCAATACTTTCAAACTGAGTCTGGTGACTTTGACCAGAGTGATACTGGACCAATTTCAAAAAATGTCCCAATTAGTCCAGTAGACACAAGAACATGGTAAAATAGGGCCCAGTGAGAAAAATACAGAAGTTAGTCTTTAATACAAATGGTATTGTTGTAAGTTTATTGATCCTGTATTTGAAATCATACAGACCTAAAACTGTTGTTGTCAGACTGATCAGCATCAGCAACCGTGGTTTACTTCCTGCAGGTCAGAGCTTCTCGCAGGAGTTTGAGGTTTCTTGTTAATTCACGGCTGCTAAACAGACTTCACTGTGAGATTTTGACAACTAAATTCAAAACACATAAAATACAAACAGTTTAAGGTTGTCTGTGTAACCATGTTTGACTGAAGTGATTTGCCGCAGAAGTGGTGAAAAAGGGACGCCAACCGTTTGACTTGAGAAATTGAGAAGAAATGTTTAGTAAAATGTTTAAAGCTTAGTAATGTCTTTTACCAGGCTGCTGCCTGGAAGCTGTAACGATGTGTTTCAGCCTGAGAGAGGCGCTGTGTCCATGTGATGAGCAGATATGAGCATTTCTGAGGTAGAGGAGAGATTAATCAAAATGAGAGTTAATGTAAATTCTGATTTTAATTACTCATCTCTCATAAGTGAACAAAACAAAAGTCTGTAAAGATGTGTTATTATTCTAGATAAAGAAGTCCACTAAAAAGTTAATTAAAGTTATGAGAGCAGCTCACTGCTAAGACTTCACTTTGTTCTGTTAAAATTAAAATTCAGTAACTTATAAAGACACTTATTCCTGCACATTCCACCTTAAAGAGAAGATAAAAATAGCATTTACAACACAAACAAACAGGAACAATAGAATCGTCTTGATGAATGTGTCATTTTTTTTCTTTATGCAGCAATAAAACAAAATGTCTGAAGCTTTACATTGTGCAGCTTTCCTGTTGATGCCTTTTCCAGAGGCGATGGAGAAAACCAAATGTACAAATACATGTATATTTAGAGAGTCACACACGTATATTTAAGGCTCACAGCGACAGGAAGTCCTGTAACAAACTCTCTGTCAGGTATTGATCACAGAGGAAGAAGAACGCTTCACACACTGCACTGCGACAGGGATGAGGACACGTCATTCCCCAGCTGGTTTATACTGTATATATACATATTAGTGCCCAAAATTTCTTAAAAGACATTGATTGTGAAGTAATGTTGATACAGTATAACGAACCCCTTTTAGTTTTTCTCAGAGCTACTCATTATAAGCGATGAAATCTTACATGATTCTGCAAAAGTTTAGCACTTTTAGTTATTTCACAATTTCTCTGATTTGAGTGGGCAGGACTCAAATAGTCAGTCAGTTAAATTTGATCAAACACACACACACACACACACACACACACACACACACACACACACACACACACTCCTATAGAACCAGATTAGCTCAGGTTCTGACTGTTAGATTCTTCAGAAATAATATCAAAAGATGTTTGTTTTGTTTTTTTAAAACCTTAATTGTTGCTAATTTAGTCATAAATATTTAATGTTGGGAAGAAATATTAAAAATATTTGAAGCCACGTTTTCAGGGGCTTTACACTAAAACATACAAATATTCAAAAAATCAGGAATTCATATACAAGATTGTTATAAAACCTGATTGTTTATAATGAAATACAGCCTTTTTATGCTGCATTCAAACATTGATTGATTGATTTTATAGATTATCAGACACAGTAAGAATATCTAAAGGAAAACATTTGTTTTGAACATGGCCCCACGATGTTAGAAAACAAAGAAAACAGAAAGAAGCATGAGACTAAAATCCAAAAGCACATCACCACAATTAAAGAAATAAAAAAAGACTCCACATCAAAAAACAAAAACAGCTTAAAGTAACAATGCCATTTCAAATGACATTATCAATCTGTTACCCTGATCCATAAAAATGTCCTGCTGACCCAACATGAAGCTGAACACCACCAGTAAAAAGGAACTTCTGGCTACATTATTCACTGGCAGCACTTTACATGAAGCACACACCTGGTATTATAGCTGCTGAGTATGCAGGACCTCTGTTATCTGAGAACATTTAGGAGCATACCCGTACATCTGTCTCAACATTCAGACTGACTCTTTTTGAAGTTGATGCCGTCTTCTCCAAAGTTGATGATGTTTGTCAGTGCGCTCAGGAGCAGCGAGTCAACATCATTGTTGAGGTTGATTTCTTCATGGTAGTTCTTCACAGGGAAGATGCAGTTCATGGGAATACCCACTTCTGCACTGAACTGCTCCATCTACATTTAAAAAGATCAACAGCTCAGTTCACATCTCAGAGTTTTAAAGGCTTTTTGTGCTCACTGCACCAATCTGGACTGGACAACTGATAACAACTTTATTAAGTGGATCAGGTGTTGGCCAAACGTAACCGATCCATGCATTTTGCAAGTGTCGTTTAAATTGTATATTTCCCAGTGGAGAATTGAACAAATAAAATTACAATAATAACAAACTGTTGTTTTGGGCTAATTTATTAAAAATGAGAAAAGAACAGAGTTCAGCTGGCTCAGATGTGTACCATGTGGAAAGAGCTGCATAAACTTTTTAAGACAATGGCACAAATGTTTTGTCTACAGAGGAGCCTTTCTCAGCCTTGAAACTTTGGGAAGGGAACAAGAAGAAAACAATTCAACAGCATATTGGACAGTATAATAACAAAGAAGGTTGAGTATTAAGCATGCATATAAGTAATAATAGTAATTTAAGCATAACAGAATCAGTATAAGGAGAGAAAAAGTCGGACAGTGCGCAAATATTGAAAACGTTTTGACTCAAACTTCAAATGTGATTCCACCTCTGCGAATTCATAATATTACCTATTAAACCAACCTTATTCTTCAGGAACTTGCTCCTGTAGACGTTCTTTAAATCTTGTTTGATTTCAGGGCAGGCCTCATCAATTTTGGTGAGGATGGCCACTTGAGGAATTCCTGCCAGGAGAACACAAAACTACTGAATCATGTAACTGATATAAACTGAAACTGACCACAGCTGCTCTTCTCTGTGATGATGGAAACTACAAACAGCTGCAGGAGGGGAGTCTTCCATACTTTCAAACATTTTGAGTGGAGTACCAATCAGTGTGTTTCATTAAATATCCAATAAAGAGAAGAATAAACAGAGATTCCTGCTCTCACCCAGGTTGCTGGCTTCCATCCTGACGTTCCGAATATTCTGCACAGTTAACTCTGTCATTCGAGACACTGTGTTGGCGTTAATGACACAGACCAGAACGTGCACTTTGTCATTGGCAGTGGGATATTTGTTGTAGAATTGATCTCCCTCTGACAACGGTGATTCAGGTTTGAACTGGAAATTGTTTTAAAATCAAGTTAATTTACAGTTACAATATGTATAAATAAATAATATCATTCAAATTAATCATATGAGCTCAGTTGTGAGAAAAGTCTGCAAAGTTTGTAGCAACTTTACCCTGTAACCGTCCTTCACATGTCCCTTCAAAGCCAGTTTGATGTCTTCCACTTGGACACCATTGGTTGTTTGCAGGCCCATGATGTCACTGAGGATAAAAGGGTAAAAGGACTCTGGACTTTCTTTTTGGATCTTATAGGTTGTGTACTGTAAAAAAAAACATATGGAGAAAAGCACACAGCATACAGTAAACAGTATAAGACCCCTTTTTTCCAGTTTGGTTCGAATGCCTTTATTGTCCACAAATGTGGAAAATTGACTTTGGGGTTTAAAAACCCCATCTTTAAAAATCATAATACAAAAAATAAATAACACAACATACACAGTACACACCATACCAGAAAGTTATCCAGTGTAGAGACATTAGGAATTTAGAAAGATTATTGCCATACCACGTACATATATTAAAAGTTAGAATGCTTTCGATGAGACTTCGATAAACACTCGTTAGTTCTTGTTGTGTGGAACAAGTGGCAGCTCTAGTTTTATGTTCACAATAACACAGCACATTACAAACAGAACAGAAAATGTGAAGTTGTGAAAAGTGAAATATATACTGACAGTTAACTTAGTCATTTAACAGTTTTGACCTTGCTATATAATATAATCTAGCTATATATATTGCATATACACACATTTAATACATTCTAAAATCACACATCTTCTATCACAACAGTCAAAGCTGGTTTCTCTTTCTTTTTTACTGAGACGTTGAAGCAGTTGTAGTTGCCTAAACTTGATCATACCCTAACCACAAGGGCAGCAAAAACAGGAAGTCAGTTGAGCTATGAAGCTTCCGCAGTTTCAGTGCTTCCTGCTGATTGTGGGTTCTAACAGTTCATTTGCAGTAGCTGTGTCACTGCTGCAAATTTTCAGAAACTTACCTTCTTGAGTAATAGGTTCTTGTCTTACAACATAATGCTATGATCTCCTTTCTATAGTTTTACAAAAACAAACATTTCCAGAAAAGTTTATATATTTTCAAAAATGCGTAGAAATCTGTGATTTGTTAATTCATTTGAACCTTTATTTAACTGAAAAAGTAGGCCTACAAAAAACATATTTTCAATAATCTTCTGACCAGTGTAATTGTATTTTGTGAATATAAACAAAGTTAGAATTTCACACCTGCAACACACTCAGCAAAAGTTGGGACAGAGTTGAAATAAGATCGAAAAGTGCAAGTAACATCTGTTTGGTAGACTGCACAAAAACCAGGCTAAATGGTAGCAGGTTATGTCATGACATAAAAGTAGCATCCGCAAAAGGTTCAGCCTTTGCAAGTAGGGGGTTAGGTGTTGTGGTTCATTTTGTGCCAAAATTCATGATAAAATTGTTAGTGATGTCAAATGGAAAATTTATTTATAGGCTCAGGACCACAATCATATGGTATGGAGCACAAATAACAAATAACAACAAACAGACAGATCCAGCATACAGCTGGATTAGCACAAAACAGCAAATATTGCATAAACAGAGGAAGAACATTCTTCAAAAAGACGCCCAGTTTCCCAATAAATTTTGACTAATCTGATTGTAGCAACTAAATGAATTTATGCATATAAGGGGAACCTTACATAGGACTGCAAATACCTTGCTCTGAAATTGATTATGCTTTCATTCTTACATTCAAACAAAATATCATACTCATCTCCCAGACAGTTGTCATTACACCTCTGGTTTATTGGCTGCTTTAACTAAGGTTGTTGTGGCTACAAGAGGTCAGGCCTCATTCAGCATGGGCTACAACAGTGTGGCTTCATAGACACAGAGTGTGTGTGCGCCTGACTGGCCTGCTGCTAGTCCAGATATATCTCCTACTGAACATGTATGGAGCATCATTAAGAGGAGAATCATAGAACGTCTCGGGTTACGTATGTAACCCTGGTTCCCCGAGAAGGGGAACGAGAGACTGCGTCGGTTACGACACTATGGGAACGCCTCTAGGCGAAGCAGGTCTGAACGTGAATGAAATCACTCCAATCCTATTGGCCTGTTGCTAGAACGGTAAGGTGTGACGGAATAACCGGAGGAGTATAAAGCACACCTGTACACACTCATCATTAGCTTAAACTATGAAGCAGGCGCTTCAGGCGGGGAGAGAGGTGCGGCGGACCGACGCAGTCTCTCGTTCCCCTTCTCGGGGAACCAGGGTTACATACGTAACCCGAGACGTTCCCCTTCGAGGGAACTCGAACTGCGTCGGTTACGACACTATGGGAACGAGATACCCACTAAACCGTGCCGAAAACCCCGCCTGCCCCTGTGTGCAATAAAAGTGGCACTACTAAGAGGAGAGCGCACGAGTGCCAGGTGCCGAAGGAAGGTCAAGACTGTAAAACCGAATGAATGTGTGCGGAGTGGCCCAGCCAGCCGCTAAACAACATCCTGCAAGAGGCCCCGGAAAGGAGGGCTCGAGAGCCCGCCTTGCCTCTGGTAGAATGAGCCCTCACAGCCACAGGTGAAGGCAAACCGCGCACCTGATAGGCCAGGGAAATAGTCTGAACAATCCAGTTGCTAATAGTATGTTTGGATGCAGGGAGCCCGGCCCTGGGAGACCCAAAACACACTAGCAGCTGGTCAGCCTTCCTCCACGGGAGGACCTCAGAGTGTAAATACTCAGTGCTCTGACAGGGCAGAGCAGATGAAGTCTCCCGTCCTCCGCCGTCACATGAGGTGGAGGATGAAATGCCTGCAGCACTGTGGACCCTGCCGCACAAGAAGGCACTTTAGGGATGTATCCTGAACGAGGGTGCAGGATAGCCCTAATATTCCCCGGGGCAAACTCCAGGCTTGCGGGGAAACCGAAAGCGCTTGGAGCTCCCCCACCCTCCTCAGAGAGGTGATAGCAAGGAGAAAGGCCATCTTGAGGGTCAAGTGCTTAGCCTCAGCTGACTCCAGGGGTTTGAAGGGGGCCTCAGCCAACGCCCCAAGAACCACTGCCAGATCCCAAGTGGGAACCTTGGACCGAGTCGCAGGTCTCATCCTCCGGGCACCACGGAGGAAAAGTACAACCAAGGGAAGTTTCCCCAAGAACCCCTCCCTCAGAGGGGTGTGGAAAGATGAAATAGCTGCCACGTACACCTTGAGGGTGGAAGGGGAAAGACCAGCAGAGAACCGGTCCTGGAGGAACTCAAGTACCTGAACCACCGGGCAGGTAACAGGGTCCACCGACCGCTCCCTACACCAAGTGGAGAAAACACTCCACTTCAGGCCGTACATCCTCCGTGTGGACGGGGCCCTGGAGCTCAGGAGGGTCTCGACTGCTCCGGCTGTTAGACCCGCCTCTAGGTACTGTGCCCCCTCAGGGGCCAGACCCACAGTCGCCATATGGCGGGGCAAGGGTGAAGAACCCGGCCCTGCGCCTGGGACAGCAGGTCTCTCCTCAGAGGGACCCGCCACGGCGGGCCGTCCAGGAGCGACATGATGTCCAAGAACCACACCCGGGTTGGCCAGAACGGGGCTACGAGCAGTAGGCCGACATAGTCCTGGCGGACCCGCTCCAGAACCCCGGGAGCAGAGCGACTGGGGGAAAAGCGTACAGACGTAGCCTCGGCCACGAATGTACCATGGCGTCCAGACCCAACGGGGCTGGAGGAACGAGAGAAACCATAGCGGGCAG